TTTATTAATATTATTAGTTTTTTTTGAGACAAGGTCCCGCTGTGTAGCCCAGGCTACCCTTGAATTTATGGTGATCCTCCTACCTCAGCCTCCTGAGTGCTAGGATTACAGGCTTGTGCCATCACACCCAGCATTAATTTTATAATTTTAAATGTTTCCTTATTATAAAAATAGTATCTCTTAAATTCAGAGAAAGCAAGAATAAGTAATATATACTCCCACCTAAGAGAAATAGTTACTTCTGTTTACATTCAAACTTTTATATAAAAACTGGGAGGAGGGCCAGGGATTTAGCTCAGTGGGTCCTGCGCCTGCCTCGAAAACGAAAGGTTCCGAGTTCGATCCCCGGTACAAAAAAAAAAAAAAAAACTGGGAGGAGCACACACTGCACCGTGTCTTATTTTGGTGGGTAGGAGGTGGTGCTAGGAACAGAACTCAGGACCTGGCAGATGCTAGGTCCAAACTCTACGACTGAGCTATATCCTCATCATGCAGCATTTTAAAGGGTCTCTCTATATTTAATCAGTTTTTTTTCTTTTTGGTTTTTTGAGACAGGGTCTCACTATGTAGCCCAGGCTGGCCTTGAACTTACAGTGATCCTGTCTCAGCCTCCTGAGTGCTGGGATCACAGGCATGCACAATGATGCCTGGCTGATTAATTCTTTTATTGTGAGATGTTTGAACTGGCTTTGAATTGCTTGCATTTATAAATAATTTAAAAATGAATATTATAGCTAATAAAAATAATTTATGTGCTTAGAAGAAAAATGTTTTTTCTTTTTGCTTTACTGAGGATTGAACCCATTAGGCAAACACTTTACCACTGAGCTACATCCCAAGCACTAATAATAATAATAAAATTTTTATTTTATTTTTAGATAGAGTCTTTTTGTTGTTATTTTAAGGTGGAGTCTTGCCATGTAGCCCAGGTTGGTCTTGGACTCTTAATGATCCTTTTGCCTCAGCCTCTGAGTATTGGGATTACAGGTGTGTGCCACCACGTGCAGCTCAAGATAGTCTTGCTAGATTGGTTGGACTGGCTTCAGACTTGCAATCCTCTTGCCTTAGCCCCTTGAGTAGCTGAGAGTAGAAATGTGTGCCTTTATGCTTGGCTAGCATAAAATTTATTTGTCAGTAAGATGCCCTGTTGAC